GCCTGGCAATTTAGCATTGGTTGGCAACCATTCTAGGAGAAAAAAACCCCACACCAACCTGGTCTAATTCTGCCCCAAATAGATTTCAAAGTCGCTCACAAAGCCATCTGGGTGATGTATTTCGTTCCATCCTGCAACCCTTATCCCACAGACCAAACGTCGTCAGCCTTTCACTAGTACATCAAAGCAGATGTTTGGAAGAGTTATATTCTTTCGTGTCATCAGATGAGACCTTAACTGGCAGGCGTCACCACGCCGTATTCACTGTTGAAAACCGTTCCTTTTCCTTTCGGGTTAATTTGATAAGAATCAAGTTCAACTCAGGCATATTGTTCTTCAGAACTCTTACTTTTTGCAACACCCGAGAGAATGCTCCACTGACAATTACAACATTGGTTTCTTTAAGTCCAGGAACAAATGATATATATTCTAATCGGCCTCATAATACTTTCTTACATCCCCCCTCCCCATCATTTACAATATCAGTAAGTAAGCCTCTAATATGAAGGGCTCTTGGGCCTTGTATTGTACAAACTATCATTAAATGAAAATGGAAATGGTTGGACTCCGTCAGGCTATCTTCTTGAACAAAAATCACTTCTTTACTTGTGAAGAGTAAAATTGAATAGTAAAAATAGGGGCGATAATCGTGCAAAGAGTAAGGATGGAATAAATTACAATGATGTCACATGAAAATAACTAAATTGAATAAAGTATTTCAAAAAGTGTCCATGAAGGTGTTATATGTATTAGCAATGTGAAAAAAATTATCTTTTAATATATATGTTCATCCCCAGACAGACTGGTCCGTTACATCACAGCTCATCAGTGTGTCTAGACGTCCAATTACCTTTAGCGAGGATTGAAACCCGACTGAATTGGCGTCAGTCGAGGATTCTACTACGAAGATGTTGAAGTGCGGTAGGGATGAAGGCGAATTTAAGGCGAATTTAAGTGTATTTATTTTTAGATAAATACATAGTGACTGAAAAGAACTCGATTCGATTTACCGAAGAGTTTTCCATTATATATATATATATATATATATATATATATATATATATATATATATATATATATGTTCGACGTATGAGGTTGCGAGGACCACAAACTAATTATCTGCATGACTATGAAGAGCATGACATTTGAGACCGGTTCGGAAATTGCACAAAAGACCACAAAGAGTACAGGAGAATGTATTGTATCCAAGTGCAGCTGTTAGCTGTCTTATTTGGCTTTCTCGTTTCATGCAGTCGACTGATGGTTACTACTCAGTGGAGCCATATCAAAGTTGTCCTATGCGACAATAGTTGTTTGTCTTTCTGGTTCTGAGTTGTTGTCCTGGAGAGATCGTACATTCCAAGTGACAAGATGAAGTTGATGTTGTGTCGTAGAGTTTTTCGCAGTAGCCGGATATGGGTGGAAATAATTAGATGTAGTTGTCAGAAAACCAACACAATGATTTGTTTCAAGTGGTGAAGGCTTGTGTCGGATATTCTGCACTTTTTGGATATGTCGATAAAAACGTATCTGTGCAAAAGACATGCCACAGAAACTCCTAACGACAGTCCTCATGTGTTGTTATCGCGGAGTTTAACCTCTCCGGATCGCAGTCAATATCAACCAGTACACGCCTCTCAGCAGACACATGCAATATAATGGCCGGGTTAAGCTGTCATGAGTTTTCCTTCCCATCTGAAGTTTTTTTTTTATCTTGAAACCAACACTAAAATGATTCCTAGCCAAAGCTCAGAGAGACTCATTTCACCCTCATCAAGGGCAGCTAGCCCGCACCAGTTCTCAACATGGTACATTACATAGCTCCATGGATATATATATATATATATATATATTAAAGATTATTTTTATCATATATATATATATATATATATATATATATATATATATATATATATATATATATATATTATTTTATTATTTATATATATATATATATATATATATATATATATATATATATTAGAGATTATTTTATTATCATTATTATTACATTTATAATAATAGTAATTATTATTATTATTGTTGCTGTTGTTGTTTTCAAAATATTTGAAAGGTAAATAATAACACAAAATTGAGTAGTAGTAACAACGAAACAAAATAACATTATAACTGGGAACGCTTTTTCACCAAAATTGAAATTACGTTACTTTGCAATTACTACGGAAATGTAAAGGAATAAAATTCATACTAAATGTTATTAAAATAACCTTTGAATATAAATAATAATAGATAAAGAAATCAGCGATAATGAGACACTAGTCAGAGATAAACAAAATAAACATATATATTTAAAAAGGCGTAAATATATATATATATATATATATATATATATATATATATATATATATATATATATATATATATATATATATATTCTAAATGCCTATAATTGGTAACAGAAGCCATTGTTTTATACCAACGGCTTCCCATACTTATTAATACTTCTCGAATTCACTTTAGCGTGGTCATGTGTGACGTCATGAGTTGCGGTTCGATTTTCGCTTCCAGCGTCTTATATGCACGAGTTTGTCGTTGCTTGGAGATCATCCATGTAAACAGAAAGAGACTATCATCACTGTCTTGTCCGTGTATAGCTTAACATATAGTAATGTAATTGCCAACTTTGATAATGGTTTATGTAAGTCGAAAGCTTAGATAGGATTAAAAATATGTATCAATATTGTGATTTTCTTTCTTCGTTCAATATGATAATGTTATTAAGCTTATCAGATCATATGAAAACAATTCACATAAAATAAATAGACAACACTTGTTTATATTATTTAATGAAACAAGTCCGACAATTATTTAAAATATTTTCTGTTTATATGTTATTTGCAATTAAATTAAAGACATTAGTTCCTTTTCATCCCCAAGCGAATTTTGGAGTAACTTATAAAATTACTGGGTTTTAAAGACAGCAAAAATCATAATTCACGTTCCCAAGAAAACAGAGAAATTCATTTCAACCAGAGGAGGGGTGTTTGCGTGTTCATTATGTCTGTATTTTGATATATCAGTTATTAGTTACGTTTTGGTAGAGGGTAGGGATGTAATTTTCAATGAAATCTGACATCCGTTAAATGCATGTCGTCTGGATTTTTTAAAGAAATTTTATTGTTAACGGCAAAGATTCTTACGGCATTTTTTTCTATTTGTTTATTTAAAGATTTGGGGGGTGTTTAGGTTAGAATACGTTTTATTTAACTACAATTTGAAAAATATTTTCACTTTTAATTTTTAATATACTATATTTCTTATAAGAGCAAGTAAATGTATTAGAATCCCTTCCAGTATGTAGAGTTATTTTCACATCAACTATAAGTATGTATATTATTAGGTAACAATGTTTTTTATTTATATTTAAATATTATTTAAGTAAACTTTATGACAATGACGCAAAAAAGGCTAATTGATTTCACTGGTTTAGTAACCTTTTATTTTTTATATAAACCTAGTAATATCTTGTTTCTCATGTAAGTACAAAGGACATGGGTCATTCAATGGATTACATCTTCTAGCTTTTCATATTAAATTCATTTTACTGTAGGTGTTTTATTTATTTATATGTACATATATATAAATGTAAATATTCCCAGGAACTGAGCTGCTTGACCCTCATACGTCGAATACAACGGGAGAGTCCACCATATATTATGAAACGGATTATATCTGAAAATTTTAATATATTTTCTATTTATACGTTATTTTAATAGATACAATTTATTTAAATAAATGTTCTGTTTTTTAATAAACAGTATTAATCAAATTTACTAGCCTGAATGTTCGAGAAATTTTGTAGAAAATATGCGTCCTTAAACACTAATCTAACCTGTGTTCTACACGCAACCGTCAATAACTCTGACGTCTTATACCTCTCAGCTATAGAGAAACGTCTGTTTAGCAAAGTCCAAATTACTATTAAACAACAAATCTTCGACGACCATCCTGAACGATGATACTGCTCACTAAATGTAATTTAACGTAAACATTGACAACATATTATGAAATGGATTAAGACTGACAATTATTTGATATAATCTATTAAATATATATTATTTAATATATATATATATATATATATATATATATATATATATATATATATATATATATATGTCACAGTTCCGATTCCTGTTGAACAGCTCACATTTTCTCGAAATTTACTGAAATAAATTGTATCTATTAAAATAACGTTAAACAATATATACATATACGTTTTAAAATAACGTATATATATA